TTGATATTTGATTAAAGCGAATGGGAAAGCGCGGGACCTTCGAAATCGTTATGAATCGAAATATTTCAGCCATTTCCCATGAGCCGTTTGCCGCTTTTGGCCGACTGGCTAACCTTTTGGCTAGAACAAACAGCACACCCGCCTAACAATTTGCACCTTGTTAACAAAACACAAACTTCAATTTGCAATTGCAAATTAGCTAATGAATGCAGGTGACATTGTTCCGCATCGCATTAGCATTAGAATGGGAATTGCAATTGGATTTAGAATCGGAATTGGAATTGGAATCGAAATGATTAGATCGAAATGCGATGTGGGGGAGTTGGGAAATTACAGCGATCTCAATGCGATTTGCCAATCGAATGCGCTGCAGCTGCTGTTTGATGTTCTGATCTGTTTGTTTATTTATTTGTTTGTTTAGATTTTGGTTTACATATTTGCCTAATACCCCGACTAAGTTAAAAAGCCGATCCAACTAAATTCAAAAAGCCACAAAAAACCAAAACTGACCCGCTCAAGAGGTGGAATGCGTAAACACGCGGCCCGGCGAAAGGCGAAAACAATTAAAAAGCCATAAACAACCGAAAAAATCCAAATGAAACAATACGATCTGCAATCTGCTATAGGAAAATTAAAGGGGGCCGCTTTTCTGGCTCTCTGTGTGGTTGCTTTTGGTGCTTTGTTGGTTGGTTGTTTATTTAATTGAGCTGGGTAAACAAAAAACAAAAATCCAAACGGGCCACAAGGAAGACGACTGCGAGGGGGCACTTTAAAATTATTTGCACATTTTTGCGGGTGATTTGTTTTATGAGGGAGAGAGTTAAACGAAAGAGCCATCACACAGATCACTTATCGGGGGATATGTTTAAAAAAACCTAAAAAAAAAAAAGGAACCGAAACGCAGAGAAAATTTACTAATTGAAAGATTAATAAATATAAATCTATACAAATGTTGCCATTAAACATTTTTTTAAATTTATAAACAACTTGGTTGTGATCTATCTTATTTTGTATACCTGAAAATTAGGATCCTCAGTAATTAGGCAACCAAAAATAAAACCATCCAGTAAATAAATCAAATATTGTTTACAGTACTTTTCTGCGGATCCTCAATCACCACCTTATAAAGACTTTCGCAACATTTTCGGTTTATTTTCCCAATTTTCTTGCGTTTTTGCTTATTGTTTTCCAATCTCTCAGCCTGGCGGTAAATGACTGGAAAAGGGCAATGTAAATATTGCGCAGTCTTTGGAGCTTGATGCTTGGAGCCCCATCATCAAGTCTTAACCCCTCCATACCCCTCTGTACCCCTTTTAACCCCCCTTCGCTGGCATTATCTTGACACGTGCACGCGCCGCGTTTTGTGCGCGTTTTTAAACGCCACCTTATTTGGCTCTTTGTTTTAGAGCAGCGGTCTCCAGTTGAGTTTGTCGTCTCTTTTCGGTGGATCAAGAAATCAGCATTTAAGGGGTTAAGAAGGGGCCCGCGTATGCCATGTTTGTATGTAGATCCGATCAATTGACGATCATTTGAGGCGATCAACATCAAAAAAAAAAATAGCTGCCAAAGCTGACCAATTTTAGAATCTTCTCCGATTCCACTTCAAATCGAACAAAATTCACACTCGAATTTTTGGCATCTCTATAAAGCGTTTATTATTTATTTATTTATTATGTTTTGTCGAGTGCTTTCAAAAGCCAAAAACCAAAAGAAAAAAGGGCAGAGCTGCGTGGGTGTGTCCAGTTTAATTCTCCGCCACCGATCAACCATGAACTCAACCATAGCCATACATATCTACCCGTCTCATTTTTCCCCTATATCATCATCATCATGGTGTTTGACCTTTTAAAGTTCAGTTAACCAAGTACTGGACACTTTTTACTGCCCATAAATGCTTAAAAAATACTTACGGCCGAAATAATAATTAAAATATATAAACTTATTTTATTATTTTTTAAACCTTAAAATACTATCTATGAGATTGCCGTTTCTAGAGAGTTCTAAAAAACATAAATCATTTCTCGAATATATTAAATTTGAGTGAAAATTACTCCGAAAATTTTATTTTTTGGGATAGTAAACGTAAATATTTTATATATTTTTTAATGCTGTCAAAGAACCCTACACCCACGCCGATTTCTCAGATTTCTAGCCCTTTAACTTTGACTTAAACCGATAAATGCGTCATCTCCCAACTGTAAACAAAACAAAATCGAGAGATCCAAAAATCCATCCAATCCAAAAAGTCGTGCCAAAAGCATTTCAACTGTCTTACGTAACGGACAACCAACCAAAAAAAAAAAAAAAAACCAACTAAAAAAGCAAAAATAAAAACAGAAGAGCAGATAAAATTCCAAAAAGGAGAGTAGAAGAGGGCAATAACTTTATTACGATCAGAAAAGACCTTGCCCAATTAGGCAATGTTGATGCTTTTGCGCTGGGAAGTGAGGAGTGCAAAAATTGTAATTTAATTAAAATTTATGGTAATGCAGAGACCCTCTGTTTAGTTGGATGATTGGAACTTTTTATACCCTGGAAGTAGTGAGAGAAATCTATAAGATAATAACCAATGATTAGAAAACGGACTTAAATTAGCTGCTTAAAATATAACCTCAGTTTCTATACCATACCATAGCATACCATACCATACCCGAAATCCCCATTTACCAAAACGTTACATTTAGCTAGATGATGGGAACTCTTTATACCCTATAAGTAGTGATAGAAATAAAGAAGATAAGAACCAAAGATAAGAATACGCGCTAAAATTAGCAGCTTTAAATAGAACCTCAGTTTCTGTATCCTCCACATACCCCAAGTCCCCATTTGCCCCCGCACATGATGAAGTGTTGTCCCCCATATGATACCATATTCCCAGGCAACATTGTTGCATTTTGTTTATTCTCATCGTGTATGCAAATCGCCTTGCTAATTAAATCAAACAAAAACATGAATCCGAAACCATTCGGGATTGAGTTGTGGCCAGACTTCCTTCCATATGTTTATGTTCTGAGTGGCTTGTTGCAGTTGCTTGCGGGGCTGCAGGCTTTAAATATTTCAATTTGATGTCGGGCCAACTTTTATTTTATGATCCGCAACACTAGACGTTTTGTTGTTTGTTTAGTTGTGGCTGTAGACTGGCCCAAATGCAAAACACGGCAGCCGATTCTAGTCATGGGTATACAGGGAGAAAAGCATTTTAAATATTTTAGATTGTTTTTAGAGTGATATAACGATTATTAAAATAATTTGATAGAATATATAAAGTTTACCCACTTTTTGGGAATAACTAATTAATTTTCTTGATGTAGTTCTTCTGTATATTTTTTAAAAAATCTTTAAATATTAATAATTAGTTGAATAGTTTTCTCTCTCTGTAAGACCAGACAAGAAATGTCACTGGAGGAGCTGGAGAAAGCGGGAGGGCAAATAGACGTAGAAAGACAGGAGCGCCCGAGTCCAAGTCAATGTTTGTTGTTGTCGTCTGTCCGCTGTCAATGTCAGGGAAAGAGACAGGGACAGTTACCAGGGGCGGAGGACAGTTGGGAGAGGGGGTGTTCGAGGAGGTAGAACTTTGGCTGCCGGAACGCAGACACACCACTTGACAGCCAAGCGCCCGGGGGCAGGGACGGCGGCGCGATCTCAGCCAGAGGGGGCAATTAGAAAACCAGTCCAGCGAAGGCGACGACGGCCAAGCGCTGCTCATTATTGATGGCCAGCCAAAAGAATCCCCTTTGAGATGGTAGAAGCTCATTAGCTAAGTGACATCGATGGGCAATCAAGAGACCATAGAAATCAAGGATTATGTGCCATATTCCCTCTTATTTTACTTTCTTATTCTATTTTCTGTAAAAAGGTTTTTAAAATATTAAAAAAGTTTATGTAATCGAACTGTAATCGGAAAGAAAACAAAATATATCGTCTAAAACCTATCGACATTTTGGGCAGAGGTTGTTGGTAGCTTATTCTTGGATATCACTAATAGAAGTTAGGAGCTAATATCAACATATATCGATTAAATTTGAAATCCAAAGCAAAATCATCGATAATATCGATTTTAATAAATCGAAAACTAATCGTTTTCCCAAGAGTAAGAGTATCTGAATGGGGTATGTGATCGAAATACTTCCTCCTCTTTAGCCATTCCCATTCCCAATCCCATTTAACTGATCGAAGCTTGCGTGATCGTCTTCTTGGCAGGAAGAGGTGGGTGGTGGGGTAAGCCCCCTGCCACAAAGGGGCTGGATTGGATGGAGGAGCCGCCGAACCACGAGAGAAGCAGCTGGTCAACTATTTGGTATGCCAGCTTTGTCACCAAAGTTTCTTTCTTCTGGCCACCGCCATTGGCTCCTGTTCTTGCTTCGCCAGTTGTTGCTTTAAGTGTTGGCAATAGTGTTGCTGTTTTAGTTGTTTGGTTGTTTAGTTGTTTGCCTGTTGCCGGAAGCGCAATTGCTTCATTATGGCACGTACTTTGTCAAAAGGCGTTGCGTTGAGTCACATTTTGTTCGATTTGTGCACTACAAGAAAATTTGAATATTTGATACTAAATACAGGGAATGAGATTACTACTATACACGTTTGTTTAGGTAATCAAAGGCTTATAAGGGCTTGTAAGGGGATCGATAAAAGTTGAAAATACGCCATCTGTTGGGATATTTGAAAAACATTTGTTTTCTTTTTACTAATGATCTTGATTGAAAATTCAGGGAAACTACAAAAAAAATCTCTAAAATTAGGGAACTACTTATTTTATAGTATTTATATCCCATAGACATTCCCATATATGTACCCATATTTTTCGTAGTGTCACATAACTGACCAACGTTTGTTTTCTCCTCTCCGCAACTCGGCCCAAATCCACTTAACTTATGAATGAAAAATGTTTGGAGCTGGCTCACGCACTGTGTGGGCTGGTTGCTGGTTGCTAGTTGGTCGTAAAAGAACAGAAACCACTCGATAATAATCCCCACCTTTTTCGATACTCCATCCTCCATTCACAGGGGCAAATTCGCCGCCGTTCGCCGCGCCATCCACAAGAACACCGGCTCGCACTTCGCGGCGAAGTTCCTGAAGAGGAGGCGCCGGGCGCAGAGCAGCGACAAGGAGATCAAGCACGAGATCGCGGTGCTGATGCTCTGCGAGGGCGAGGACAACATCGTCAACCTCAACGCCGTCCACGAGACGCGCTCGGACACAGCACTCCTGCTGGAGCTGTAAGTACTATCCTTACTACTGTCCTTTCCTACTTATAATAAAGTCTTAACTATCAAGTTTATTATAAAATCATATATCCCTTTTTTGGGGGTTTTTATCTCTAATTAAGAATTTAAACTCTTTAGCTTTAACATTTTGATATTTAAGGCCTTATGACACCAGCTTGATTCTTTAATAACTTATTGGATTTATTTTTAAAGGTTATCACAATCTAGAGAAGTAATCTATAGCTCATTTTTTTAATGAATTTATACATTAAATCATGTTTAGTTTACCATGGCTTTTTAAAATAGATCCAGTCAGTAAGTCAAATATCAAGCAAGTACCTTATAAGACCTTAATTAAATGAGGATTTAAAATCATCGTTTCTTAAAAAGATCATATTTTCTACATGCTTTTATTTTATAATAATGTAAATAATGTTTGAACTCATACCTTTAATATATATGTATTGGGGATTGTTCATATTATGTTTATACACTATTGTAAATCAGGTTTTTTTTTTAAAAGTCTACAATTATAACTCTTCTGTTTTAATAAGGGTTTTAAAGTCAAAATGTTTTCTTGTCTTAGGATTTAAGAATTTTGTATCCCCTTATTTAATACCTAACTGGTAATCTCTCTATTAAAATCAAATATTATCCTCTTCGCAGGGCCACTGGTGGCGAGCTGCAGACGATCCTGGACAACGAGGAGTGCCTGACGGAGGCGCAGGGCCGCCACTGCATGAGGGAGGTGCTCAAGGCGCTGAAGTTCCTGCACGACCGCTCCATTGCCCACTTGGACCTCAAGCCGCAGAACATCCTGCTCGCCGGCGAGCGCATAGAAGGTGGGTATTGCTTTGGTCTCTAAGGATTTGTATTATACTAATGGATTCTTTTTTTTTTTTACGGAACCAGATGGATTGAAACTGTGCGACTTTGGGATCTCGCGGGTGGTGAGCGAGGGCATCAATGTAAGGGAGATGGCTGGAACACCCGACTACGTGGCCCCCGAGGTGCTGCAGTACGAGCCGCTGTCCCTGCTGACGGACATCTGGTCGGTGGGCGTGCTCACCTACGTGCTGCTCTCCGGATTCTCGCCCTTTGGAGGCGACACCAAGCAGGAGACCTTCCTCAACATCTCGCAGTGCGCCCTCACCTTCCCGGACAACCTCTTCGGCGGCGTCTCGCCGGTGGCCATCGACTTCATCCGTCGCGCATTGCGAATTAAGCCAAAGTGAGTGTCCCCATTGGGATATTGAATGCCACGCTGAAAAGATATAGCCATATATCAAAAACCATTGATTTCCTATCTGAAATAGATTATAAAAACAAAAAGAAAAGGAAATCTTTTAGTATTTTTGATGGTGAATTCCAAGTTATTATTAATTAATGATGATTAAATAAGAATGAATAACTTGAAAATAAAAATCCCATACTTTTCAGTAATTTGTAAGCCACAAATCGTTTTTTTTTTAATTATAAATATTTAAATCGTTTTACTCATTGATTTAAAAATGCCATAGAAGCTAATATAAAATGGTAATGATATTGTCATAAGTTCGAATTTTTAACAATTCATTGATTTATAACAATGGAATTTAGACCTTTCCGTTGCTTTGAATTATTTGTTCGTCAATTTGTTCATTTTTTAACCTTATGTTCGATACAGTCAGTGGATTTCCTGTACGTGTCATTTTAATTATTCATCATTATTTTTGTTAACCGATTATAAGAATAGGTAGTCAATAAAAACCTGATAGATATAGCCCTGTTATTTAAATATTAGTTAATCAAGCAACAAGAGCTATAAAGTTAACCAAGCTGAGCAGTTAAACTATGAAATATACTAATGATATATCCCTGTTTTTATAGCGATCGCATGAGTGCCGCCGGCTGCTTGGAGCACATTTGGCTGAAGGACGACTGTTCCCTGGACAGACAGATCTATCTGCAGCCCCAGAGCGATGCCGAAGAGGAAGAGGAGGAGGAGGAGGACGACGACGAGGAGGTGGAGGACGAAGAGGAGCCCGTCGACGAGGAGGAGGACGAGGGACAGACCGTCGAGGAGCCAGCGACAGAGCCAACCCAACAGCAGCAGCAACCTGCCCAGCAGCATCAGCAGCAGCCACACCAGCTAGCCAAATCCGGCAGCCTCAGCAAACCGACGCACAATGGCCACCATCGGGCGAACAGCAGCGGCAGCATCTCCAAGATCCCCATTGCCACCAGCAAGCTCCTGAGCAGTCCCAGCTCCGAGACCACCACGGCCATCCACACGCTAACCAGCAATGGTAACACCAATGGCAATGGTCACATCCACAAACCCACCCAGATTGTGACGCCGACGCGACGAGCCTCGGATTCCGATAAGGAGAACACGTATACGGCCACGTTTGTGAAGAAGCCAGTGGCCACCATCCAGCTGGGCAGCTCCAATGGCATCGAGGATGCCACAGTGGTGGCCACACTCACCCTCTTCCCCGACGCACCCACCACGCCCAAGGTGATCCGCAAGACGCCGACGGGAGAGTCGAATGGCTCGGCCACGTCCGTCAAGGCGCTGGTCAAGAAATTCCAGCTGGAGGACTCGAGCGGCCCGGCAATGGCCCGGCGCAGTGGTGGATCGGTGACCAGCGGCAGTGGACTGCATTCGCCAACGACGACGGCGGCGTCGGTACGGATGAACAGCATTCGACGGGCCTCGGAGCCGCTGACCACGGTGTACAAGAAGCAGCAGACGCCGCAGAATGGATGCAGCAGCAGCATTTCGAGCCCGAGTCCGAGTCCCGGCAGCAGTCCCACCACCACCACATCCGGCAGCACCGCCACCCTGCTGATCCACAGTCAGCGATTGGCCAGCAGCACAGCGCCGGCCAGCCACAGTGCCGCTCCAGCAACAGCCACAGCCACAGCCACCTCCTCCGCCAGCAGCAGCAACAGCAGCAGCAGCAGCAGCTCAGGGAAGACAGCGAGTGCCGCCCACCATCTGCACCACCATCACATGCACCACCATCACCATCATCATCACCATCATGTGGTGATTGCGGCAAAGAATGCCGCCGCCGTGGCCGCCACCAACAACTTGAGCCTGGATCAGGGTATCATCTGTTAGCTAAGGGCCAGCCGGGCCAGCCGCAATGCCAAAAGTTTCTTTCATCGCTTCCTGTGCTGCATGTAACCACCAGCTGCCATGGCTGCCACGACGACCACGCCCCCTCCCCCTCCCCCGACCACCGCCCACTGGCAGAAGGCGAAGAGGAGCAGGAGCAGGAGCAGGAGCGGCTGCGAGTCACCTAGCTGCAGGATCACTAGGTGGCCAAGTGGCGATTTGAGGAGCTATGGCTATGGAAATGGATCAGCGGTGGGAAGCCGGTGGAGATGGAACGGAAATGGAAATGAGAACGGGAACGGGAACTTGAACTGGAATTGGAACTGGTGCTGCAGCGGGAGATGGAAGTGGTTATGGAAACGGAAGTGGACGTGGAAGTGGAGAGGGAATCATCCGCCAGACTGGCAAGACGACGATGATGCATTGATTTTGATTTGAGCTTAGTTTAGTTAATGTTTTACGGCCTTAGCATCTAGGAGTCCCACAGAAACACGGTTGCCACTCGAGAACCCACTAATTTAGATCAAGGAAATTCAAACATTTTCATTTTCGTACCAAACCTTACGTTTTAATAAGTTGAAAAATAAAAGAATGTTTTAATTTTTGCCCCACTTGAATGTGGAGATTAAAACTACACTTATATAGAATATCGGACTTGATCGGTGGCAACCGTGTCTGGGCGACCCGCAACATCCCCCACACATACTAGAAAAACGAAAACCTACTTAGCTAAAGTCACGAGAATGCGAATTGTGAGTGAAAAATTAAGCAAAACGAAAGAGATGAAAGATAGGCGTTAGGAGGAGTAGTAAAGTAAGCTGATTTCAACGGAATTTTTGGTAGACATATCATCCATGTTTGTTATGCGTTTAGAGGAAACACACAAAAAAAAAGAAGAAGAAGTTTAGGAAGAGAACAAAAGGCGAGGATAGAGTTCATTGTTTCAACGAATATATAATGTCAATTTTTGGTCCACAAGGCAAGCAAGTAAGCCCTTTGGCCTAGCATAAATTATACAACCTATATACATTATCTTTATACACATATGCATACACACATATAGACTATACATAGCATATATATGTACCAAAAAATAGGGAGAAACGTGTCAGTTGAGAGCCCGCCATTGGTTATGTAGAGCGTTTGTTAATCGGCCAATCAGTGCATCAATCAGATGATAATCAATCATATAGCATACCGTGTTATTCGCCTAGAGGGATGAGAATTTAGAGAATGTTACAAGCCAAGCAAAATTGTTAATCGTGTGTCTCGGTGTGTGTTCAATCGTTCAAATCGTTGCTTAAATGTTGCCTAGAATACATTACATTACTTAGAAGAAGAAGCCACATGGATCATATAAGAGGAAATCTAGAGGGAGAGAACTAATTGCTTAACTCACGTCACGTAGGCCCCACATCTACAATATCCGATCCCAATCCTGATACCGATCCAAATCCAGATCCAGATCCCAGATCCCCCAGTTCTCCTCGTTTTAAGTCGGTTTTTGTATATATTTCCAGCAAGCAGAATGCAGAATGCAAAATGCAGCCAGCAGCGCATATAATTAAATGTAATTCTTTTTTTTTCGATAATCATATCTTAAAGCTTGATATATATTTATTAGGCAAAACGTTTGTGTGGTCGGCGTTCGATGGAGGGTCAGTTAATTGTTAATGAAGAAAAATGCTTAATTTATCGTAATCGATTACCCTTTTCTTTTATATTTAATACTTGCGTGTACTTCTCTTAATTACTATGATTTTTTTTATTACACCTAAACCACTTATTTGTGTTTACTGTATATGTACATTAGTAGTTAAACGCGAAGAACGCGGCTTTTCAGCCGACATATAATAAAATCTGCGCCAGATGGAGCGAGAAGTGTGTTTTAATTCTTAGTAATTTCAATTGATTTTTTGTGTTTAGAGAATCTATTTCTATGAGAAGACAAACAAAGATGCAAATTCTATTATATATTATATTATATAGTAATTATTTTATAGATAACTAATTTAAAATATATTCAATAAAAACTATAAAAATGAATAAAGTTTGTTGTCTACTCAAGGGAAGGCTTTCTGACAAAATGGGGCTGAAATACTGGTTTCTCTTCTGTTTTAATCCTTAAAAGTATTAAAGTATTCATTTGCTTATTTTTTTCGGCTACATTAAAGTAACAGCTACTTTACAGCTGTTAACATTTAACATACGGCCCAAAAGTATGCAACACCTTTATAACCAAACGGAATAATAATAATAAAAAAAAACTGACCCCAAAAGTATGCTGCGCTTTTGAAAATGAAAAGAACAAATTGATTACACTAGCCTACAAAATTAAGTCGCTAAATTTTAAATTTTTTTGAATCTCCTTTTTATTTTCTTTCAAACGTTTGAGTTTCTGATTCAGAGAATTAGAAAGAAATATATCCTTGCTTAACCAAACCGCAGAAGTACAATGAAAAAGAAACAGCGACGAAAATGTATAGAAAAACATTTAGACACACATTTTTATTCGAATACATGACAATCTGTTTGGTATAAAAGAAAGTGAGACAAAAAAAACTTGTATATATCGGTAAAAGTATAAGTAAGTGTAACTAGCGCCAAAGAACGTTTCACAGTACAACAAAGATATCGCCGCTTGGCACCCACTTTCTGTATTCTGTACATCTATATCTATCCCTGGGCTCGCGCCTCCTCCTCCTCGTATGGCCGATGGTTAGATGTGGGAAGAACAAATGCTTCGAGATTGCGGATTCCTCTTGAACACTCGCCGAGAGGCGGGGAGATTTGCCGAGTGGGCGGTGGGTTTGGTTGGTTGGTGCTTAAATGCCGCGGTACGACCGGTGGGCCAAAAAGGCGCTGATGAAGTAGAGCACCGCATTGACCAGGCCCAAAATTCCGGCCACCATATAGGAATCGTGCTTCACGTCGCGTAACCTGATCAGCAGGAAGGTGGACGAGGCCAGGATCAAGATGGCGGCCACGCTGTGGTAGATCAGCTCCTGTAAAAAAAAAAATATGTGTTTAAATACAGTACTATTTTCAAGTGGTATAACTTTGATTTATAAGCCTTTTATATACTATAACTTCTGCTATTTCAGTGTTTTCATGTATAATGACTCATGGATCATAAAATTGTCTTCAAGTTATTTGGGTATTACAGTATTTAAGCATTTCTAGTATTTTTATAAATTTTTAACTGAGTAGTATTAACTGATTTGTTTGAGAATATAGTGAAAAAGAAGTTTAAAACCATGCAATTATAGTTATTTTAAGGATCTTTTTCAATAATACTTCCGGAGCATACTCACATAGATCGTCTTGGCAATAATGCCCCCCGTGCTCAGCGACGTGAGACAGGCGAGGAGTAAGCAGAACGTGCCTATCATAAAGGTGACGCCCATGAGATAATGGAACAGATCCTGCTGGCCGTAGTAATATCTGTGGTAATCCTGGAAGTTGTACGCCAGAATTCCCACAATGGCGGCACCGATGATCTGCGGCAAATCAATAATGATTACTTTAAAATGAAAATGGTGTTTTTAAGTTTTAACTCACCAGCTCGAAGAGCTTGAGAATTCCGGGGAAGGTCTTCAGATAGCCCGTATTCAGGACGATGTAGGAGGTGTTGGTGGTGCTGGTGGTGGTGCGGGTAATGGTGACTGAGTGCGACATCTTGGCTTTGTATCGGTGGTTCTCTTCGGGGAGTTAAAGGTGGGGTCTGAAAATGACAAATGTGGTAAAAAATAATGGTAAGTTATGGTGGAATGAGTATTAGACATCGTATTAAAGATATATTCTAGGGATTTTTATTATTTCCCCTTTTACGGATATAGACAAATACATTTTTGTGCTTCTTTAAGGCTTTATACAGTCTTGTCACAACTTTTAAATTCTTTCATGTTAATATTTAACCTATATTCGTCATAGTGAGTATATTTCGCTGGTGATTCATATGTTTTCTATTCCATGAAATGATAAGTAAATATTATGAACAGATCTCCCAAATATCGTAATTCATATGGCATGTTTTTTTGTTCTGTTGGCCAGCTGTTACAAATCGAACGCCCTTGCCACGCCCATCGATCTGCACAGTATCCATACAATGTTTGTGTATTTTCGGACATCTATTTGTTGCTGTTTTTGTTTTGGATTTTTGCTTTTTGGTTTTTGTCTAATTTTAAAACAATTTTCAATGCCGGCCTCGCGAGCGAACGAAACTTGGGCAGGCGAAAAAGCGCCAAAAGCGTTATTGAAGCATCAGTGGGAGAATCGGAAAAATCTATTTACTTGACCGTCGACTTTCCACCCTGCCCCATTGCCCCCCCCCCCTTTAAACAAGTCACCCCTTTTTCGGGGATCGGCAGCGAACAAAGTATATGAATCGCTCGTCTATATGTTCGCCTAGGAGAATACAGATACACATATATGCCAAAACGTCATGAACTTTATGGTCTGCTGCCTGCTGTTCGTTGGAAAAGCTGAGAAAATCCGAAGCGAACCCGAAATTGGGGCACACACTTAAAGATACAGATGTCGTGGGCGGGGGTTTAATGGAGCAGATTGGCAAATTGTTCTTTGCAAAGCTTCATTTTCTCTGTTCGAATTGATTGATTCGGGAATCTGTGGGTTGTAAAGACTTTATTCTGCCTTCAAAATGGTGTCCAATTTGTTTACCATTAAAACGGAAATCATAGTAGATAAACAAATAAAAGTTTATTCAGTTTATATACCTATAAAATATACATTTATTGGGATTGTAATTGTATTGTTGCCAAATGTTAAACTTCTTTATAAATTGTTTTTAAAATGTTTCCGCGCACATTTTTAGAATTTTGCAAATACAACCTGATAATTGTAAAGTTCTAATATATGAAGATTTTGATAATATGAAAATGAGTATTTATAGAATCCATAAACAAGGTAAACAAAACAATAAAACAAGCAAATATGTTGCTTAGAAAAGCAAAACCTCGAAACCAAACGTGCTTTACAAGTTCAGAGGGGAATGTAATGGGGTTGGATTTCAGAACTCAGACCTTCCTCAAAATCGACGACGCATTAGTCGAGACAAGACGATGACGCCATCGGTGAC